TGATCAACCAAAGTGCTTCGGTGATGGATTTTTCTTTATTGGTTTGCTTTTAACGTTTGTGCTTTGTATAGTTGTTCTATAGAAAAATGAAATTAATCCTAAAGTATACACTTTTGTATAAATCCTGTTGTTCCCTTCATTACTATTGCTTCCTTTGATGGGTATCATGTAACAAGTGTACACATAATTTAGCAATTATGTGACACTTTAAATGGATCAATAATCTCTAATATAAGGAGCTCATATAAAATGAGTTATAATTATAGTTAAATTAGTATGGAGAAACCATAGTGGTTGGATTGAGTAATCAAATATACAACATCATTTAACTTATATTCAAATTAATTGATAATACTGATGTTAAAAAGAAAAGAAATTACTCCTCTAGTTATAAATATAAGACCCATTTTATAGTATAAATTATATTATAAAATGGGTCTTATATTTAAGACCAGAGAGAGTACATCATATTTTTTTCAAAAGTAAATTAACACAGGATTTTCTTTTTGGGGAGTTATTGCCTGTAGGCATGGATTCGAACTTGCGAGAAATGCCATCATAGGGCATCCTTCATGATTCGTGCTACTACTCCACAACGGTACTGATATTAACACAAGATATTCTAGTCATATCAGACAACTATCCATAGTTATTATTTTCAGTAAATTCTCTTATAAAGACATAACAAAAAACATCTAAACCTTCAAATATTGAACTGAGTAAAAAACTCAATCGGACAATTGCCATCAAATCAGGCAAGGAAATTTCCTTGGTTTTCCTTTGAACTTTTTATCTCCCAAATTAAGTATGAAAATAAGGTGGACAACTTTTAAGTTGCAACTTCATATATATGTGCTTGTTTAGATTAGTTTATTTTAAATAATCTTGCTTAGTACAAGATATATATGTGAGAAAAATTGTCCCATAAAATACAAGATTTGTGATTGAAGTTGGCATTTCCTCTAAAAGCCGCCTAATTTTATGGTTCTTTTAAGAAATTATGTTCCAATGCATCCCTAATCCTTCTCACCCTTCTAATCTATCAACCACCCATTCGTACTTAATTATCTTCAAAGATACTATGCAAAAGCTATATTCCTATAAAATATGCACCCGATGTAGTATGGAGTTTTATTTTATTTTAAAGCATACACTTCATAGTACTCGAGGGAAGAACAAGACTTCAATGGACTCATGTATATGATACAATTTTTTTGACAAATATAATGAAGCAGAAGAAATATTAAGATCTGTTTATAACTAATTTCTTCTTGTGCATTCCCAATGTTAATTATGAAGTTGCAACTGCATATAAAGATCTAAGCTGCCTGCTTATGAGATTACTATTTTGAATAGCAAGCTGAAGCTCTGCATCACTTGACCACCATTGTGCCAATTCATGAGCCTCCAGGAACTTCTGTTTCTCCTTGGAAACCACAAACATCTTTGCTAAAACTTGGCCATTTGAAATATCAATACTGCCCTTGCCGTCATCAGGACTGGTGTAATAACAACAGATATAGTCACTGTTGTTCACATACAAATATGGAATCCATTTGCCCACCCCAGAGCCAGAATTATTCAAGCCAGTTGATTGAGTTGATGATCCTTCACTCAAAGTTTTGGCTTCAACACTACTTGTAGGAAGCATTAATTTCAGTCTCTTCCAAATCAATCCTGCTTTTTTGCCCATGTATCTCAAACTCATTGCCAGTGAAACGGAAGGTGGATTGAATAAATGTGTCTCCACATATATTTTTTCTTTTGCTAGTGCTTTTCCTACTTGAAGTGCAAATCCAGCTCCTAAAGAATGCCCTGCAATACAGACATTGCTGCTACCGTATTTCTTAGAAACAGATTTGAGTACCTCCAGAGCTAATTTAAACCTAGAAGATCCCTTCAAGCTTTCCCAGGCGAGAAAGCGAAGGTCATCTTCGATATCTCTTCGGATTGTTGGGGTTTTGAGTAATGTTCCTCTGAGTGCTAAAACTACTCTTGGCGCACCACTAGGTCTAGCTAATATTAAGTCAGCCATTGCTGCACGTTGATCCCATTCAAATAGAGCACCAAAGATTGATCCATCTCTTTCATCAATCATTGTTTGAGTAAGCTTGTATTTAAAGGGGATCCACCAATTTGGAGCTAAAGCATTTTTTTTGGTTCGGTTCTCTTGTTTGTCAAGTTCGAGCAAGTAAACTGCCTGTATAAAGCAGGCAATGACAATTCGCTTGTAGTTCTCATCCTTCCTGTATCACATAAAATATTAATCAGAACGCACATAAATTAAATTATAACGATGTAAGAGGTGTCAATGAAACTCTAGAGCATTCACATGAGTTTTAAAGATGATGAATGAAGCTCTGGAACATAATATTTATCATGTTCAGATGCATACAGTAAATAAAATCAAACTAGTAAACAGGACAAGCACTTGGGGAAAAAACAAAGAAAGAAATTGTTTGATGGTGACAAAATATTATACAATTACACGAGCTATTCAGGTAAAGCCATTTGCCTTCTCATTGACAGAGCAACACTTCAATGGGATCATGTCCTAATGGAAGGTGGATGTAAGAAATTTCAGGCTTACAGCCAAAGTTAAAACAGACATCAGCATATTTTGTTTTATATGTTCCACCTTTCATACTTAAGTGAATTAGACAGAACTTGATTGAGTTTCGTTAAAATTTCACAAAACTTTTTCTCTATTTTCAAAGCCTATACAAGCCTATACATATTTCCCTTTAAAATTACACATACTGCGCTTTCATTTTCAAAACCTATGCAAACTAATCCGGAAAACAAAGAGTAAATTACACAGATTTCTATTGAATTCTGCTGAAATTACACAAACATCCTTTTTATTTTGAGAGGAAGCTTGTGTCTACTTCGAAAACAAGCGTAAGTTTGTGCAACTTACCCTTTATATTTGGTCAAGCAAGCTACGATGAACTAGAAACTAAAATGTAGACAAAAACACATCATTTGTCAAAAATTTTATGGTAATAATATCCAAAATTCTTAATTCTGCAGAAGAACAAGAAATATTTCTCCGTATTAAAAAAAATAAATTAAAAACAACTTCAAACACAAGGTTTTTATCCAAGAAGCTATAACCTTCTGTGATTCTTATCTCAAAATCACACTAGACAAAGACCCAGAAAGAGTTGGGAGGTTAAAAAAAAAAAAAGAAGAAGAAGAAGAAGAAACAAAGAACCAGATCATTAAGAACTTATTTACTGATTCTATAACGTGCAGCATCTGTTTCAATTCAAACAGGTTCAGTAACAAAGAGTTCATTCCCACCCCTCTTTTCTATTTGGTTATAGTTCCTTTCATCATAAGCAACAAGTGCACATTTTAGAAACCCTGTTGGTAAAGCATTTTGCTTTACTACATTCCTACACTAAGACCCATTTCACCAACAAATTCAGAATCGGTAGAAATTCTGAGAATTGACACAGGAAATTCCAAATACAATATGCCATAAGAAGTGCACTGCTGTTCCTACACTAACTGATAACTGATTAAAGCCATGATCAAGAGGGAAAATTGATCTGCAATATACAGCATCCATTTCAAATTCAAATGGTTTCTGCAGAATTCATTTCCACCTGTCTTTTTTAATTCCCCCATGGTTCTTTCAATCTTAAAAACCATTAACGTGTTAAAAACTAATTTGTATGTCTTCATTCTAGAACTCTTTAATAACCAGTAGTAAACTTGTTATGACGAAGTGGGGAAAAAAGTTAAGTTAGTGTGGTTAACAACACACAATGAAGTCCATGAGAAAGGAGGTAAAATTCATCTGCTTTTCAGTTAGGCCAGAAAAGGAATTTGAGAAGGCTACTGACCAACTAGAATTGAGAAGATCCCTCCAAGTAAGAGCAGCGAAATTGCGAGGACCAGAGACATGAAAGGCGTAAGGATGATGAACTTCATCTCGCAGCTTCCCATCCACCCCGCGTTTATTATCAGCTTTCGCCATTAATGCAGCAGAGATCCTGCCTCGTCTTCTTCTTGTTCTTGATCTCTGTGCATGATGAAGCTAAATGGAGAAAGACGAGTTGCTGCCACCCTTCATTTATGGAAGCAGAATGAAGATGCTATCTTTTTCGTTTTCTTTGCTTGGCATCGGATTCTGCAATTCTCACCGCCCGTTTATTAAAAATAGAATCTTTATTTATTTATTTTATATAAAATTATAGGAGTATTAACAAAATCAGTTTTGAATCCTAATATGATTATTTTTTCATCCACACGGTTTAAACCTCGTCTTATCCCCCACTGTTTGTTGACCTTTTTTTTTTTTCAAACAAATTAAATTCAATAATTTATATAAGAAATACAATTTATCCAAATTTAATATTAACAAAAACAAAAACTTTCTAAATATAGCTGTTTTTCACTCACAACGACTTAACTTGTTGCTGTTAGATATATCGATATTTGTTATTGATAACTTATTAATTAAAATTGAAATTAACTAATTTAGCTTTCAGATTTGTCTCCGTTTGTAACCCAGTGCCACTAGACTGACAGGTAGATGCAAGCTGGAAGCATGAAAAAGGAGGCTCATTTCACGCATAGGGAAGATTATCTTCATAATACACCATATAATCTCAATCATCATTTTTTAACAAAATAAAATGTCAATTAAGTTCCAACAAACGAAAAAAAAAATCCTATTTTATCATGAAATAGGTGAGGATTTTACAAATTACATGCTTTGGTCCTATTTATAAGATCCTATCTTCTAAACCTTAATAAAAGATCCTTTATAAGTTTAATGAAACATTTATAACTAATCTCCAAAATTGTCCTATCCCTTTGGCTTTTCCACCCTCTTTCCCCAATGGCTTTAACTCTTCTCTTGAAACTTTTTAAGCGGTCATTAACATACTATCAAGTTCTCTAACTGAATAGTGAGGGAAAATTAAGATGAATTATATATATATATTTTTATATACATGATCTAATTTTTGAGTTGAAGTAAGGAATCACTGAAACAGCAAACTACCTTTGAGGTCTAAAAATATCAAAAATGGCCTGAAGCCAGATAATACCATAGACTCATAGAGTGCCATTCCCACTCTTTGATGATTATTGTTGAAAGCATTGTTGAAGTCTTCTATGGACATGATTGCTCCAACTGTGACCGCGAGTACAGCATCTTTCTGCTTAATACAAAAGAAAAATAAAAAATGTATCATTATATGCCAAAGCCAAAGATGACCAGCGCAAAATAGATCGTTATTTCTGGTAATAATGATTAATAGAAATGTTTTCACTTGTGGCTTTAGTTCTTCTTGGGCTCAGACTTTGGGTAGGATCATAGAAACAGTTAAATTGTGTTCCTTCTCTCTTTATCATTCATTATAGTCCTTGTTAACAGAGTAGAAGACATTAGCCCTTGCTTGAATTTATATTAATAAACTTAGGCTCAATAAAATAATTGCCACTGTTAATGATATTTGGTACTATAAGAAATAAAATGGCATAGGTATGAAGTAACAATAAATACACAACTTTTCCTCCCTTTTTCCTCAAAGCTGCCCTTATCTCTCTTTCACTGTCATTTGAAGTCCACATCTGGGAAGCTGACCCTAGGAATCTAATGTAAGCTCATATGTAATCCTTATTCATTCCTCCTTAAATAACAAGTTAAAAGGCAAAATAGATATAAGCTGTTTAGGGAGGAAAAAAAGGTGATGTTTTATTAAAGCTAATAGAACAACAGAAAAATTTTAAATCTGAAGTAGATGGAAGTGACAATGAAGGGGAAAACAGAGAAGAAATTCAGAAAGACTTTCCTGCAGAATTGCATGAACATAGAAAATCATTCTGAGCCTTCTTTGATTAGCCTCACCATTAGACATTCGGATAGCAAGTATACCCACCGGCAGCAAGAATCCCATTGAAGCCCACAGAAGAAATCCATGTAATGTAATGTCAAACAAAAGCCTAGGGTTCATCTTCATAAACACAACCAAGAATGCTAAAATGTCAGATTCAAAGCGAAGAAGAAAATGCAGAAAAGAAAATATTGGATACCTTAATGTTGTTATCTTTGCTGCTAGAATGACTGCCTGTAACTTCCATTTTCTCTGGGTATGAGCTCACATCAGGAAGAAGCATTGCAGATACAAGACTCAGAATGAAGAACAAAAAAAATGAACTTTTGCGGAGACCCCATTTCTTCTTCCTTTGTTAAACCTAAAGCATTCTCATAACCCCTTTTTCCATTGGAAAGTGGTCAATAAGATCAGATTTTGGACAGAAACGATGACTTCTTTGCTTATTTCAACCCAGTCCTTTTCCTTTTGGTTGGCATTTAGTAGAGTAGAACAAGTGAACTTACTATGTATTGCTGATTAAAATTGGAACTTTATTAAATTTTCTGCTTGATGCCCAGATCTTCAAAATAATGTTATGCTAATAATGTTAAAGCTCATCAATGTTTGTCCCTTTTCTTTTTTTGCCTCCCCAGTATGGCATATCATAGAAATGATTACTTTGATTTTCAATCAGAACATAATTATTTTGATTTAATTAGGTCAACTTATAGATAGCTTATGTTCCAGATTAACTCTTAAAGATTTATTAAACTTTTTAATCATTGAATTAGACAATAAAATCTAATAACTATAGTCTATATATAACCTTTTTTTTATTTATTATTCCAGACACACAAATGTGACATGGCTTTGCTTTTGTTTGCTGTGAGAGAATAGAATAAGTAGAGAAAGGACCATGCAGAGCCATGCACAGGCAGAGGGCCAGAACTAAAGAGCCGATGCTGCTTTTGCAGAAACCAGCATGTGGTGCTCTTTCGTTTTTAGTATTTTTTTTTAAATGACAAAATGTATATATATTTATAAAAAATACCTAATTATAGTAAAATTGAAAAGAAGTCTACAATTGTTTATTAAAGAGAAAGTTTTTAATTTATTCAATTTTTCATGCAGCGAATTTATAAGAAAGATAGTTTATTAATAAATAATAAATACCGCTAATCTAGGTCTAATTCATCTTAACTTAATAGCATAAAATGCTCTTCTGTAAATAGAAAGTCGCAGATTCGATTTCGTTCGTAATCCAAGCCATTAATTAAAAAAAAGACTAAACTAATAAAAATTGAAGAGAGGGCTGCCCTGGTTTTGACAAATGTGGTATTGGTTAGTTTGGCCCTTCCTACTTCACTGGTGCTTGCTCTTTTGGTGTCTTTTATCTTCGTGCGTTGTTTTTTTAATTTGACTATTTTGTAGGTTGTATTCGAGGTTTGTTTTCTTTATTTTATGGAGTGGTAGGTTGTATCTTTAGGTCTTTTACTCTTTTTAGGAATGGAAATAGTATGTTATCTAAATACTTCTTGCTCTTGGTCTCCTAATCTAAGACCTGATGCCATAAGTCTGCTTATGGCTTCTGTTCAATTTTGAACAGAGCCCATAAATATTCAAACTAATTTTAAATTATTTTTCATTTCATAAAATAACATTATGAAATAGGCACAATATTATTTTGCTTATATTTTTATTTAATTCATGCCGCTAAAAATTTTAAAATTTTTTTAATTCAAATGATTTGTTTTAATTAATCTTTTTTTTTTTTACAAATTGAAAATTTTTATGAGAAATTTGCTTTTCTAGCATATACAATTAAAAACTTGATTTTTTAAAAAAAATTTAATTATCCATCCATCTACGGTGTCTGGTCCAAAGTGGGCCAACCATTGTAGCTTAGCTATAGCATCGGGATCCAACTGGGCTTTTATATTTTTGGTGTCTGGTCCAATTTGATTATTAAAAAAATTGTCTTCCCTCCACACGGTGCCCCCTCCCTCTTCCCCTTTCTCTCAACCGCTCTTCGCCATCTGTTCCTTCTTCCTCTACATCTGCTATGAACTGGTGGTTGTATTTAAATATTAAATGTAGTTGGTTATATATAATAGCGGGTTCCTATATGAGAGGTGATTATTTAATTAAAAATATTTTTCTTAAAAAAACTGCCACCTACGGCTTCTATTGTAATACAAAATAGAAGCCATAAGTACCGACATATTAAGTGGCTTCTGTTACTCTTGAAACAGTTGCCGTAAGTACAGAATCCTATAGCTTCTATTCTTTCATAATAAAAACCGTAGGTAATACTTTTCGCTACTGTTGCTTCCAGTGCAGCACATATACAGTAGTGAAAAGTTATTTTTAACTAAAGCCAAATGGGGTTTTTTACACTAGTGAATCTCAATTATAATTTGTAAATCATAAAAGATTAGTTGCAAATCAATTATAAATTGTGATAAATTCCAGAAATTTAATTGTAAATTCTGAAAGCACTATGATGAATATTGAAAGATTAGTTGTAAGTCAGTTATAAGTTGTTATTAAGTGTATATATTAGAAGTTTATCGGTAAATCATGGAATATTATTTACAAAACAACTTGTTAGTTACTTGTATTGGATTCATAATTTACAACTGATTTGCAACTAATTTTTCAATGTTTACAGCTAAACACATTTTATCGCCAATATCTAAGTACCTACTTAATAAGTTACTGAACAACATCTGACATCTATGCCAAGCGTGTTTTAGATTTTTTATATCAAAACATTTTTTCACTTCAAGCCCACAGAATTGTAGGAAGTCCAAAATATCGGCCTAAAGTGGGGTGTCCTTGTTTTCCTTGTGGAGGCCTTCAATGACGTGCTCCCAATATTTTCTCCTGCCTTGAAAAGGTCAAATGAAAAGTTGTACCAGAATAGAGTAATTATGAGATTGCGGCTCACACAAGGCGACCTTTTAAATATATTTGTTTTCTTTAATGTGATTCGCGTTGCTAACCCCACGAATTGCTATTATTGGTTACGCTTATCCCAACGAGTGAGATTTAAACACAATAAAGTAATAAGCATGAAAATGAGCTTTTTTATCCATAATGACATTTAACTAAAACAGGTATTAGGCTGATTTGGTTTACTAATTATAGTCATGATTATACTCCTCTTCTATTTAATGTAAGATTTAATTAAATAATTTGAGCAGAGTAAAAATATTAGTTAAATTAGTTAATATGATATATTTGTTAAAAATATTTTAAGCATCTTTCTTAACTCCTATCTTTTTGCTCCTATTTGATTATTGTTAGGAATAATATCAATATGATTAATTTTAAAAAAATTAATAAATGTGTTAAATAAGTTTTACATAAAAAACTAATATCAACTTATTAATTATATCTTATATTACAAATAAGGGGAGTATTAATTAATTGAGCTCATATAGATACGTTAATTTAAAAATTTTGTCAGGTTATGCTTTATGTCACATAAATGAATTACAGCCGGTCAGCCGCAGCCGCTATTAGACAATTGTAAGACCTGATTGGCCCATAGGCCAGAGATCCAACACGTGGGCCCATCATAACTGTTGTCGGCGCGTCAAGATGTCCCCGTGTACGTGTGACCATGTTTCAGCTTTTTCCTACCCAAAAAAAAGGGAAAACCATATTGAAGGTACCTATACTTTCTCTTTATTTTTAATTTGGTACCTATGTGTTTTTTCCCTTTAATTAAACATTTAATTTTATCTTTTTAGCAACATTAGCTCTTATAACTTTGTTCTATTGATATTTTTAGTCTCTACATAAGGATTAATGATGTTAATAGAGGAAAAATAAAGATTTAGTTAAGAACAAAAAACACATAGGTACCAAATTGAAAATTAAAAAAAGTATAGGTACCTCCAATATGGTTTTTCTCAAAAAAAATGCCTTTTTGACTTTTCTTGTGGATTCCCTGTTTGATTGCTGCTCGTGTGAAGTCCTTATCCGGGAAACTGACCCCGGTAACCTTATATTATATCCTTAAATATTAATTTATATTGCCCTGCCCATGGGTCTCGATGACCAAGAATTAGAAATTGACAAGGAGCTATAGAATATATTAAATATCCCAAAAAGATTGATTTTTATGAATAGTTCATTTAATTAATTCCATAATCTCAAATCAAATAAGTTGCATCTTGCTCAGACCTATCTTGTTAATTGCTATACATGTTTGGATGTAAAATATCTAAAATACTCCAGGTGCAAATGCAAAATGTTATTCTATTAACACTTACTAGTCGCAGGAGTACTATCGGCGACCCTTTACAATTACTTGCAGATAACCAGGGCTATTCATTCCGGAACAAATTTACACGTAAATTAGTGCGCGCAGATTCAGACAGACGTCAAGGATTGGGAGCGCGTAGTCGCAGCTTCAGGGTCTTGCATCTCAGTATTTCGCTCCTGTGAAATTTGAGTGTCCTCGTGGGATGATTGCCGTCGGAAGAACTTGCAGAAGATCAATGGGAGGGCAATCAACACGAGTGAAGAGACGTTGATGACGAGGCTCCATATCGGACCGACGAGGACCAGCAAGAGGAGCTCACAAGCCACGGCTCCAGAAATATGGCACACCCAAACCAAAACCTTTCTTAGATTGCTGGAATTTTGCTGGTCGGTCAGATCTGACGTCCTCCAAACCAAGAATAATGCGACGGCATGGACGATTATTGCTATGAGAAAGAGTATCATGAGAGCAGGGTGTTTTTTGAAGGGACTGGTGTTCAACACTTGGTACTCTATTCCCACCAAAGTCGCCAGCAAGGTAGCTAAGAAAGCATAAATGGCGTGAAGCACTGAAGGTGCAGTGCTGTAATAAACAAAGCAAGAAGAAGAGAGATCAAAATAAGGAAAGGAAATAGAAAACAAATGATGAGATCGATCACATGCATAGTCATTAACCTGCAGATGGGCATGGCGGTGGGAGAAGAAGAGAACCCCAGAGAATGGAATTGGGTCAGGCGACAATTCTCTGAGAATTCTTTTCACTAGTTCAAAGAATGAAACGACTGGGAAGAAACCAGCCACAGATGTTTAGGCGCAGATCTACTTTTGGGATGTCGGGGAGGGATTTTATAGATCCGAGATCCAGACGAGACATTCTTACGTACCAGCACATCCCTATCTGACCAATGAGACTATGACATCTGAAATATTTTTATCCTACATGTCAATCTACACGCCGCTATATCTCTTCCTATTATTTTAATATTTTTTGAAAAAAATACGTGTTCTTTGAATCTGACACCCTCT